AAAAAGATTTTTTTTATTATATAACGCTACCTATTTATATACGCTATACAAACCCAAAAGAAGACAAGTACAAGGGTGTCTTATCTCTTAGATAGAACGATATTATATCCACAGTCTATAAAAGCTGCTTCGAGTCTGAGTACAAGTTAGATACCTAAGAGTCGGGTGGTTTTCAAAAGCCAGTGTCCCCTGATTTGCGGTCGCATGCTCAACGCGTGCGGAGCACACGCGTTTTGCCTGCGGGGCCGCGGATTTCGCTTGGTTTCCTTACACGAGGCGATGCTGCGCGCTGCAGCACTCTTGTATGAGTACTCACGCTAGATACTACAAGAAGATAGAAATCTATATCCTAGCTGTCTGAACAACAAATAGCTGCTTAATACAAGCTCACTAAGGGCTTAATATAATAATCCTTAATTAAAGTATTTTTATAATACTTTATATATAAACTTATTAGAAAGCGTTTACTAAGCAAAATATTTATACAAGATAAAAAAAACTAGTATTTAATTAATAAATTAGCAAAAATTACTAAAGAGTTTTAAAATTTAAAATTTTAGTTATATAACGCTTAGGTATTAGCTTATACTTATTAAAAAAAGTCTTGACCATCTTTATAACACTTCAAAAAAGCTTAACAAAATTTGAAAGCTTTAGGCATAAATTAAGGCTAAAGTTACTCCTTAAACTTAACATGTTATACACAAGCTAAGCCACGCAGCTATTCAAGAGCATACCAGCGCCTAATTACTTCAAAATAAGCTCAACAATTTACGCAAGCAATCTCATCAGCAAGAGGTCAAGAAGCGCTCAAAACGCATAGTAAAAGAGAGGGTACAGCGTTCGTGGAACCTAAAGGAGGTCAGGGCTGCTAAAGAGGGCAGGGCGCCCTCTAGAGTGCAAATTACGCACCGTTTAGAGGATTCGCTGCGCATCAGAATTCTCTCAGATAGGCTCAAATAGGAATTATCTCTAGCTTCATTTTTTGGCCTAATTAAGTAGTGGTAATGTGGCCTATAGAGTGGTAAAGTACTGCGTAAAGTGTGCAAATTGGCCCGGTAAGTGGGGTGGCCCGCCAAGTGGTAGTGTACCTTAGTAGCTTTGTTTGCGGGCATAAAAGCATTCTTGGAACATTGGCTAGTACTTAGTAGTATCTCATACTAATATACAATATTACAACCGACGGCTTCTGTATGGCCTTCGGTGGGAGGCAAGAGGACAGATCGGGTGACCATTCTGGCACAAATATTTGCGTAAATGCCATATCGTCGTGGACAATCGCTTTCAATCGTCATGTACATTCGCAACTGTCTGCCTGTTGGGCCCCATTTTAAAGCTCAAGGTAGAGAGGCCTTGGAGATTATTGGTGTCCGCCAAGACTAAAATTGTCGAGAAAAGTGTGACTGTCTACATTCTAAATGCTCTGTAGGAAAGGGAGATGTGGTAAGAATGGTTTCCGGTAAGTGGTGTATGGCGATGTGATTTCTGTTCACTCGGCGCATTAGGGCCCTACAGTCCACGTCCACACGTCCACACGTCCACACGTCCACACGTCCACACGTCCACACGTCCACACGTCCACACGTCCACACGTCCACACGTCCACACGTCCACACGTCCACACGTCCACACGTCCACACGTCCACACGTCCACACGTCCACACGTCCACACGTCCACACCACGTATAAAGCAGAGAGAGCATACGCTGGGAGCCCTTGAACCATGGTCATTCTTCCTTGTTCCACCCAGTGCTTTTTTAAACGTGCGGCTCAATTGTTCAAGCCCACAGGCTTCAAGGGAACTTGGTTCTTCTATCGGCATGGACAAAGATATTTAGACTTCAAGCTACGTCCCCTTGAAGCTGGCAGATGGCAATGTGCAAAATTCGCTCGTTGTATTTATGTTCCTTCTTCAAGCCATCCCTGGATATTATGGCCCCCAGCAACCTCGGTCAATTCAGGTGAGTTGCGGCCCCTCCTTTTCGAGTGCTTATCTCAGTCTCGTGAAAGGCCATCCAAACTTGGAGGGGAGTTCGACTTGGTGGAACTCATATGCGTTTCAGCCGGCTAGACTGCTGAATCACCAATGTGCCCTGGCAGGATATCCGGCCCAGGCAGCACTGCTGCTGAGATGTCCTCTACCGACGCAGCTTTGAATTGTGTAGGGAGCACTGCACCATCAAGATTATGCAGTGAATCTCCGGCTGTTGTTCCGGCCAGTTCATCGACAGTAGCTTCAGCACTCTGATTGTCCCTATAACGGGCTAGCTGTTGCTCAATTATTTCTGAATCGGTTAATTGAATCACACTATCGAATCTGGCTACTGGAATTCCTATACGGCCCTTGTCGAACATGGTATCTTGGCTTCGGATAATCTTGTCAGGTGACATGACGTCCTCGTTGTCCGTTGATTCAGTATCGCTTTCGAGTGTGTCGGATCTTTTTCTAAACCGTAAGGTGATGTCCTCTCTTTCTCGTTCCCCCGGGTCGGATGTGGAATCATAGGCACTGCTATCCGAAAGATCATCTTCTCGTTCTGCTGAAACCTCGGTTCGATTGTAACGAGCTCTCATGTGAGAATGATCGTGGCCAGTACGCATGTTTTCAGCGAGTGAATATTCCATAGGTCGACGCCTCTCCCGACTTCGTGGTCGATGAGTTTCATGTGCTGATTCGTTAAGTCGACCACGGTGCCGGCTCCTGGCATGTCCAGTGTTGGGTCCATCATCTTGAGTACTATTCTCATAGTGTCGTTTTGCAGAGTTTGCGAGACTACGAGTCCCCCGTCTGGTTGATCGAGGTTGATATGCAAGTCTATCCCAATCAGGATCTGTGTATTCTTCCGGGCTTTCATAACGTTCATTCGGAAGTATAATGCCACGGCTATCATTCCCCCCTCGAGTTGGATAACCCATAGATGAAGAGTTCTGAGCAAATTCAAAGTCTTGCTGACGTCGAAGCGACCGCGCACGCTCATCATTTCGGGCAAAATCTTTAACACCAGTGTTCGGAGATTTGTACTTCACCAACTCCTTCCCAGTAGAATCATAGTAAGGCGACTTTGCCGCGAGTGAGTAGCGAGATGAAGGATCATCCCATGACCCTGACCTCCGTACAATGAAACCAGTTCCGCCTGGTTGAGACAACGTGCGCTTGACAGGTTCGTTAAAAGTGACCTGGTTTTCATTTCTTGGCCGATACTGGTAAGCCAAATCGTCGGTATTTGCTGAGCGAGAGTATGGTATGTCCCAGGTGATGTGCGGGCTTCTCACGGCACGATTGTCCCCGTACTTCACATGATCCCAGCCGCTGGCTTGGCTATCCATCCTTCTGATTGACTTGCTCCATTCATACATTTTGTTGAGTTCGGATTCGTTCAGCGCCTCAGGAATCAGGATCGTCCCATCTTCTTCAATGAAATTATAACCAGACTCGTGAACAACTCTGGTATCTATGGCGTCTTTGAAGACCTCAGTAGTCACTTTCTTCATACCCTTCACTCCACTGCTATCCACAATGATACGTTCAACGATATCGGCCAACAAGGGCCCTCCAAACGCGCTTTTTCGACCAGAATAGTGGCGCGGTTTCCTTTGCACACTCTCACGTACGTTCTCGTGCTTGGGTTTATGAGGCAGGTCTGGGTCTGATCCAGCCATATGTTCAGGAACGTGCTCTATCAAGGGCTTCGTAGAATTCAAGGGTGGCACTTCCGAGGAAGGATCAGTCATCTGCTCATGAGATGTCGTGGGACCATTGCCTGCCTTGCTGGTACCTTGCCCGGCAGTAATCGTTTCTTTCATCATCTCTTCGGATTGGGCCTGCTCTAATCTCACAACAATGTGAACACAAGCAATCTCTTTAACACGTCTCCATAAACCAGTCCTCTTCCGTTCTCCTAACTCGTTTAAGTATATTAATTCCCAGTAAACCCCTGGTCTTTTATCACGGCCCACGCACAAATTCGTAATCGCGCGTTGATAGAATGCTTCAAGAAGCGCATATCGTCTCAAAAGTGAAGGTCCACGTTCTGAACCCCTCTGGGCTCCAAGTAACTGTGAAAGCAGTTCCTCTGATATTGGGACCGGAAAGACGGTGTCAGAGGACTGCTTTATTATCCATGACTCAAGGACTGTAGGCTTTTCTGCGACTTGTTTGTGATTGGCTCCTGACCTGACTGGTTCAAGAAAGACAGACTTGGTGTTTTGGTCTGATGGAATATCTGTTCTAGGCCGAAAAAGCCTGGATCAATAGTCAAACCTCCAGTGAGGCAAAAGATGAGACAATGTACATACCTTGAAAGAACGGACCCCCGGATCCCAACAGCTGCTGGAATTGGATGGTTGTCTGTTTCCGGCTGTGATTGGATAAGCGGCTCAGCCTTCTTGAGTGACACGATTGGAGGGTGGGCGGTGGATGCCAGATCCTTCAAGATCAACCCAACTTTATCTTCTTCGACACCTGCCTTTGTGAGCAGCTTCTGAAGAAGATCTTCCGATTGCTGTCTTGCTTCTTCCGCCTTCTTCTCCTCTTCCTTCTTTTGAGACTTGTATTCGAGAACGGCAGCGTCTCTGATTTTTCTCTCTTTCTCTTCGTCGTTCTTTCTCTTCTGCTCCTCCTGTTGCTGTCGAAACGCCAAAGCTTCTTGTCTTCGCCTCTCTCTCCGAGCAGCGTCGCGCTGAGTTAGATATGCAAGATATCCTTCCATCCCTCTCTTGTCAGATTCTCTGAACGATGGTTTGCGAAAAGGCTCTTTTCGTCTAGTACTCTTACTAGCCTTCTCCTCTGCACGTTTCGCCCAACTCAACATTTCCTCATATTTGGCATTTGCCCATTGCAATTCTTTCCTCACCGCTGGGATTTTATTTTTGAAGTGCTGTTGGTCGCTTTTGGTGTGGCTAACAAGGATTAGCTGAATACAGGAACCGATCGAAGCCTTACGCTATAAACGTCATCAGTGTGAAGTAGAGAAGCATGATATCTAGCTTGACTGCTGCCAACTCTGCTCGAAGGACTTTCACTTTTGGTTTCGAAAATGCCCACTTCATTCGGTCAGATCGTGTCATCTCTCTGCCTGGGCTGTCTAAAGCTGAACTGAGCGGAGCGCTCTCCAGCCTTAAGAGATTTTCTATTTCTGAAATAGTCTTCTGGCACCTAGCGGTCAAGGCCCTGGTGTCTGACACGCCATTTTGGTTCTGCAGACCATTTTGTTCCGCAAGTTTGCCGAGGTTTTCTAATGATGACGATGTCGTTTGGAGCTCTTGACGCAGGCTTTGGATAACATTTGTCGCACTTTTGTAATCGTCTAGCAGGTCTTTGAGCTTTGAGGCAAGTGAAAACCCTGCCTCAGCTACTGTCAAGATCGCGGATGCCTCCCCAACGCCCGTCATTTCGACGCAGCCATCGAAAAAGAACGATTGCAAGTATTTGTCGACAAAAACCTTCTCTCTGCGCTGGTAGGGAAGATGGGTTGAGGAAAAGCCATATTTCAAATATCCGAGTACAGCCTTTTGCTATCGCGTTCGTGGCAACACCCTTCGCTCGAGGAAACCACGCCAAAAGTCAGCTCTCTGCGGGCTCAGTCAAAGTTGCATAATGGACCCCAACTTCGTGCAACCTTGCCATTACTACACGTCAGTTGAAAGCCCGTTGTGGCTTGAAGGATCAGACTTGTCTCGGTTCTAGTTAGTTTACTACCCCCGAACCGGAGCAAGGGCCAGTAGAGGTGTTCTTCTCGTAGGGATTGGAGCATTCTCTCGTTGATCTTACCCATGTTTACAACGAGCCGCATTCCTGCTATATAAAGTAGTAGGTTGCAATGTAAAGTCTCGAATCCTGCCTGGGATCAAGAGGTACATGTCTTGGATTTGGTCATATGTATCTTATGTAGAGACATTCTTACAATTCGGATTTATCCTTCACCATCAATGAATATGATTCGATAGTCGTTCCCATAGGTAGAAAGTCTTCGGAGCGCCTCGCTTGAATATGTATGTGTGAGAAGCTGGGTTTGTGTTCTAGCTTGAAGGGATCCATAATGCCCAAATCGTAACATCCGTGCCTCTTGGCATTTATTCATTTACCAAAGAGCGAACCTGCAATCTCCTCCAAAGCATTTACATATGTAATGTCTCTTGAGATGAGTTGCACTCCTAAACAGGTATGAGGAACTCAATTTCTACTCATACTTATCTGGCTGCTTCCGTCCTTACTCTGGTTCTTTGCGTTCATGCCGAGGCCACAAAAGGAGCATCCTCCAGAGCTCTGTTAACTCCAGAACAAATAGGGGAGGGGTTGGAGGTAAGTCCTTAAGACAGTCATCCTTCTAGGCATTCGCTGTCTGACAGTGAAATAGCAATGCTCGGTCGTACAGAAACTCAATGCACACAAAGCCGCAACAAGTCCACAAACAGCCTCTGTCACCGCACGCATCTTCTCTGTCCTCTTCCCATCCGCCTCTCCCGCCATAAATGCCCTCCTAGCTACCGCCTATATCTCCGGTCCTCCGAACTTCCTCCTCGCACTATGTCCTCCCAATATCGATCCAGCTTCCCTGACCATCATGGTCGCGTTCGCCGTTGGTGGATTGCTGGGTGATACTCTTTTCCATCTACTTCCAGAAATATTCCTAGGAGAGGATCACCCTGATAAAGTCCAATTCGTCCTCCTAGAACCCAACCGCAATCTGCTACTGGGTGTGGGAATTATGGCCGGCTTCGTAGCTTTCGTGGCTATGGATAAGTCATTACGGATTGCGACTGGTGAAGGAGGACATTCGCATTCTCATAACTATTCAGACGCGAAAGACCAGGTAACTACATCCACCTCTTCCGGTTCTTCCACCGGAAAGGCCGCAAACGGCGAGCTCAAGAAGCGCAAACCCGACGCCGACTCCAACTCCGCTCCTAGCATGCAACCTTCATCAACCCCACGGAACCCCTCTGTTAAACTCGCCGGCCTTCTCAATCTCCTCGCAGACTTCACTCACAACATAACCGACGGTCTTGCCCTCTCCTCCTCCTTCTACGCCTCCCCAACACTCGGCGCCACCACCTGCGTCGCTGTTTTCTTCCACGAGATCCCGCATGAAGTCGGCGATTTCGCATTACTCATTCAATCAGGATTCAGTAAGCGGAGAGCCATGGCCGCGCAGTTCTTGACAGCAGTGGGTGCGTTCTTGGGGACGTTCATTGGAATTTTTGTGAACGAATATGGTGGTGGAGGGGAGAAAGACGGGACAGGAATTGGGGGGGGAATTTGGGGAACAAGCTTGAGCTGGGGCGACATGCTGTTACCATTTACGGCTGGGACTTTTCTGTACGTGGGCACCGTGGCGGTGATTCCGGAGTTGTTAGAGGTAACAGGACGGACGAAGAGTGAGGAGTTGAGGAAAACGGGATTGCAGTTCTTGGCTATGGCAGTTGGAGCCGGAATCATGTTAGGGATATCGTGGTCATAGGGTACAAAAGTAGAGGATGCCTGCTTCTGGCAATATCGCAAGCGATGTTTAATCAAGGGACGGAAACGTCAAGATGCGCTCCATCCTCTCAAGGGTTCGTTGCCTAGCACGAGAGCAGTATCGGCATTAGGAAAGCAGCTAATGCTCTGGCAACTTCCTACTCCAGCCTCAGCCCCACATCATCTAGCTTTTCTACCTTTCCACCCCCCTGGAACGACTTCGACTGTGACTGCGTTACTGAAGAGCAATTGCAACCGAGACATTAAAGGTGTGGACGAGCCCAACACCCTAACGTATCCCTACTTGGGTTTCTTAGTCTCCGGGTGTAAGAGGGTGAATGCGTATTGGGCCAATACAATTTTGTTTCTTAGCCATGCTGGTTCAGACTTTGTCCCCTGAACAGCTTTACATTAGTTACATTAGGAGGAGGAGGAGTAGGTCGCTGGCGCTTATGTCAAGTTTTTGGAAGACTCGGACCATCCGTAGAGAGTTAAGATCCCTAGACCAATTTAGTTCGCACTTCACCTCGCCAACCAGTTATCCTCAAAAGATTTGGGGAAGTCAGCTTTCAGTATTGACCGGCTATCGCCATATATTAGACGCTAACAGCTCCAACAGAAGCCAGTCTTTCATCACGGAGCTTCCAAGACATGCAAAAGATCAGGTGGGAGAGCCCTCCTGACCTCTCCAATCTGCTTTGTAACACATAGAGGTCCTTGGCCATCCCAGCTGACTTCGCACTGTTGTTGATCGCAATCACGGACCACCTTCACGATGCGGTCGATGAGGGCGTGGAAACGTGCCAATAGGGTCGAGTTGTCCTTCTCCCATTGGATGACTTCTTGACTGATATCCTTGACCTTGGGCTTGTCAAAGAGACCGAATTGGTGATACGCGATGAGAAACCTGGCTGTCTAATTCAGCCAAAGTCGCGGAAGAATTTCATTCATGTCGAAAGGCTTATAGCTAGCACGTGTCTTTATGTCGAAGATCTGATCCTGGCGTACTCTCGTGCCTTGGGTCTTCAATTGGAGTTGTTGACCTTGACGAACCTCGGTGCTGGTCACAGTCATGGTACCAAACGCATCGTCGAGAGATGGTTGGCTTGTTGACTTCTCCACGCTTGAGGATGCTTTCTCACCAGCCTCTTTGACATAGCCATCAGTTTCCGTGCGGACGAGGAATTTCAATCCACCAAATTCATAGTGAATTATACGTTGGTGGGAGCACGAACCCGCAACCTCAGAATCCCATGTGGTATATGCCTCTGGGAACGTGTGACCATAGCCTTGTAGATTGGTGATGACTTCCGTAAGGGAGCTTTCTTTACGCACAAAGAGCACTGTGTCTCCAACAACGTCGACATCAAAACGGAAGGGTCTTGGTTCGGACATAGTAAATCAGGAGATTCCCAATCGTACTACCGCATCCTACAACATCCACCGCTTGTAGGTCGCATTTTGTTTGCATGGCCAACATGGAACGGAACGTGGGCTCAAGAGGGTACGAGGCGTATCGAGCCGCGTTGATGTCTCGAAATACATCTTCGCTATCGCGCTTCAGCTGTGTATCTGTTACTGGTGGAGTCCACGCCGGGGGCGAACCTGTGTCATTCGAAAGTTCAGCATATATTATGTATTGGCCCCGGGTTCAAGCTCCCAAATTGGCTCAACGATTGATTAGTGGAGACTCAAGGGCTGACCTGGCACGAGGATAACTGGAGACTTTCCACTAGTCCAGTTATAAGACGCGACATATTCGACATCCTTGATCTTGGGAGCATCCTCTTCTGTCGATAACGTCTTGATGTCGATGCGGTCAATGGTTGGACCTAAAGGCTTTGGCGGCGGTAGAGTTTGGGGCGGTCGAGCTCGACTAGGATTAGTAGCACCACGGCCAGGATCCTCTTCCTCGAACCTTATCGAAACCTCGGTATGAACCACGATGAGAAGACATTTTGCTGTTGGAGTTGAAGCTTCGAATGAGAGCTGAAGATGGAGGCAATTCAGATATTGCTCTCCATGTCTAAGTGGAGACGAGAGGATCAGATCAGTACGGCTGATGTGCTTGGAAAGGCTCTTTGCAGCACATTTCACATGCAGTGCTGCCAGCCAACCATCTCCCTGTACTGTAACCCGACCCAGATATGGTTAGCACACAGTAGCGATTGAGGCTCGCAATCTCATCCAGCCTTGCGATGTATGTCGGGCGTACTCTCTGCCCTACAAGGTGCGAGAAGCTGTAAACTATTGTCTGGGTTTGACATTCGAACTGGTTTCAGCGTGGCTGGACACCCTATCATCCCTGGAACGAGCACAGGCAAGGTACATGAGTTCACCGCCCTGACCAGACGGTCTAGTACAGCACAAATCTATCTGTGGTGACCCTTCCGTTCAAGGAGCTATCAGCAAACATTGGTAGCCCAAGACGTGTCCAACAGACACCACTTCGGAAGATCCTTACTATTCCACACCAACAATACAAATGACATCTCTAAGTCCAGAAGATTCTCGTGTCACGAGGCTCTCTGCCTTCTTCAACAAAATTGTACACGGTCAAAGAACGCTGTCAACCGCCCGTGATGGAAAACTCTTCATCGAAGCGGTGTGTATCCAACCTGACCCGCCAAGCTGCGCCCATAAACTCCTATCAAGCGAATGTGGGCTTTCAGCCCTTCAAGCATCAGTACGATTCGATATCTCGATCACATTTCTCAATAAAGATGCTGTGTCGTTGCTTGGCTATCTGCAAAAGCCATCGTTGAAAGCCATCGATTCTGGTTCTGTGCTCGCGTCGCTGCTTCTCAGTATGGTGAAACCGCCGTTCGTCTGGGAGGCTTTCTTAAAGTCATTCACAGGCGGTCTTTTGAATGCAAGCGCTTCTCATGCGTTCGCTTGGCTACTGCTAGAGCTTGTATCCTGTCCGGCAAAGCATCATCTCCTTACCTGGCGTAGCAAACTCGTCGAATATCCTGGATACAATCCCGAAATCTCCTGATGGAGAAACTCGAATTCTGGGTCAGAAGATCAAGCATGCCTTGCCATTGGATGCATCAGAACTACACAACGATATAGAAGCGAAACCTGGAGGTAGACATGACAACGATCATGCAGATCATAGAGAGATTTCGATCATGCCTACCGCAGATGAACTTTTATCAAAAGATCATCCCTTCTTCCGAAATGCCGATTTTATCGATGATCCGAAGACTGCCTCCTCCCGTAACGGCATCCCCATAGATAATCAGTTCCGACTTCTTCGCGAGGATACGATAGGCCGAATACGAGACGAATTGAAAATCTTAACCGGTAAAAAGCCTGGACACCACAAGGGTATCATCATCGATGGTCTCTCTGTAACCGGAGTGGAAATGGGGACCGATCGCAAACGCCTGCCTTTGGGTATTGTCCTTAAGTGCAAGGGAGAACTGCCACATCTGAAAAATATCTACCTAAAAAAGCGTCAGCAATTTTTACAGGACAGTCGCCATATTCTAAGACAGGGAAATATGGCATGTCTCGTGATCGATGGCGAGCCAGCAGCATTTCCCACCATTCACAGGGACGAAGAAGGCCTTGCCAAAACCGCCGCCGCCATCACAATACAATTTGCAGATGATTCAACACTATCATATTCGCTTTCAAAGATGAAGACAGCTGAGAATGTCAAACTGGTCCAGCTTGACTCTGCAATCTTTGCTTTTGACCCATTCCTGGGACGCTTGCAGGAGATGAATGGTTTACCACTGGAGGATGAGCTCGTTTATTGGGAGGCAGGTAAGGACATTGAAGGTCCCTCCTTCCAAGCAACCAAAGTGGTCAGGGGCCTGTAATCACGCTTAGGAAAAGATCTGAAGAACTTCTTAAGCATCAAGAAGAGGGTTATTCTGGATGAGTCTCAGATGAAGTCCCTTTGTGCTTCCTTGCTTCAACGTGTCAGTTTGGTGCAAGGCCCCCCGGGTAAGAGCTAAATCTGATCAATTTCATTGTCAATGTTAATGAGATAAAGGAACTGGAAAGTCCTTCATTGGAGCACTAGTGGCGAAAGTCCTCCAGGATTCTACATCGCATAATGTTCTTGTCGTCTGTTTTTCGAACCACGCACTTGATCCCTATTGCAGGCCTGATATATGGTAGCTTTGTCGTCTCCTCCTAGTGCAGAAGGAGATCCAGACCCTGCCACCGCCCTTTTTCAACACAATCACGACTATTACATAGCCGTCCAGATTGCTAGTGGGTCGGGGGCTTGTACCCCTTCCTAGCCGGTTTCAAGACCTGTGCACCGTAACCTTTCGTTTTATTTTCATACCTATTACCAAGCTCGAATGCCACGGGGTGTTAGCCAACGAGAACCATCACCAGATAGACTAATACGAACAGTTGCTAGGCATTACATGGCTGAATAACACTGTCGACCGCCCGTGATGGAAAACTTTTCATCGCTCCTTCCGCGATGGCTAATCGTACTGAACGAAATGTCTTGACGCAATTTATGGTCATGGATGTCACCTTTACAACACTGCTTGTTGTACGAAGAAGACTATATCCAAGGCAAGTCAGCTCTCATCTCGATGGCAAATCAGGCTCGCTTCCTGGCTCGTGTCGAAGTCATTCTGGAAGATCTCTTCATCCTTGCAAAGCAAGGATCCGATGAGATTGAGACATTACAGGTACACCTGCTAGAAGCTGCTGGCGTCAAAGGACTCTTGGAGTTCGTGGCACAAATTGTGCCTAAGAAGATAATGGTCAGTTCCTTATATATCTCCACCTCACAACTTTCTGCTGCCTGTGCTGACTCAACTGTACTTAGAATCTTCTTGGGTCTGAAGATCCTATCAATGTGTATGATCTGATCGCATTAGAGTCTGATGACTCCTGCAAGGTCGATCAATCATGCGGAGTATATCTCGTCGCCGGACGGAATCCAGCGCAAGGGAAGCCAGTCGTCTACAATGGAATGTGCAACTCGCTTGATGGTGGTTTAATTCGTCGTTCAAAGTGTGGTCGACACACCTGCACCAGCTGCTGCCACCAGCTCTATAACCACTCTAAAATTCTTTGCGGAACAGTTTTGACCCAGAAGTGCTCTAACGGCCACAATCAATCATGGCAGTGTCACACCGGTGCCCCCCCAGTATGTTCCAAATGTGAACGAGATAGAAAGGAAGCGTTGAACAGAGCTCAGAGAACCCACCAAGAAAGGCTGAAACGGGAGGAGAAGCTCCAAAGGCATTTGAAAGAAGTCGCGAAGCTAGATGAGGAAATGGAGCAGATTAATCAGAGCATGAAGGATGCACGCCTGGATTCCGAGCAAATGGCTATCCTTGCACAAAAGCGAATGGATCTTGCAGCACCCAAGCAGCGCGCGAACAGGACGCAGGACCCCCGCCAGGAAGAGCCACTAGGCGTCTATAACGACGACCATCCAAACCCGGGAGACCTGCGTCTCAGGAAAGCCGCGCAACCGTCACCAGGACCGGCGATATCCAATCAGGGTCAGCATTCAAAGCTTCGAGAACATATCGAGACCGCGGTGGGGCATAATAAATCCCCCTCTCAGAGGGAGTGGCAGCGCCAGAAAGACCAGGAGAATGCCCATAATCCGGCGACCGATAAGATTATGGAGATGATAGGTCTAGAACATGTCAAAGCACAGGTTTTGAAAATCAAGGCCAAGGTCGAAACGACAATCCGGCTGGGCACTGACCTGAGCAAGGAACGTCTCGGACTCGTACTGCTGGGTAATCCAGGCACAGGCAATTTTTCCCTCGATTCTACAATCACAGCTCTAACCGTGCAAAGGCAAAACAACTTTTGCTAGGTACTACGCGAGAGTTTTGACCACCATGAAAGTCCTTGTCGGGGCTGGATTCATCGAGACCACAGGTTCACATCTTGCCCACGGGGTTGTTACTGAAGTCAAAAATCACCTGGTGCAACTTGAGAAACTAGAAGGTGGCGTATATTTTATCGACGAAGCATATCAACTCGCTGAGGGACACAACCACGGCGGCAAAACTGTCCTTGATTACTTGCTTGCCAACATTGAAAACCTCACTGGAAAGATAGTTTTCATATTCGCTGGTTATCGGAAAGAGATAGAGAAATTCTTCGAGCACAACCCGGGACTTGAAAGTCGCATCCCCTACCCTCTCCGTTTCGAGGATTATACCGACCACGAGTTCTTGACGATGTTACAGTTCCAGATGAAGCAATACTACAAGTCTGGAATAGACATTGAGGATGGTATCAATGGGCTGTACGTGCGAATAGCTACCGGCAGATTAGGAAGAGGTAGAAGTCGTGACGGTTTTGGGAATGCCCGAGCATTGGAGAATATGTTCGCCAGAATTAGAGAGAGGCAATCAGATCGTCTAACCAGACAGCGGAGGGAGGGGCTCACCCCGGACGACTACCATATTACAAAGGAGGATCTTATTGGGCCGGATCCATTGCAGGCCATCCTTACCTCCGATGCGTGGACACAGCTCCAACAGCTTACCGGCCTGAAGTCTGTGAAAGATTCTGTTAGCTTCATGATCGATCTGATTAAGACAAATTATGAGAGAGAGTTGAATGAAAAGGAGTTGGTCGAGGTGTCTCTCAATTGAGTCTTCCTGGGGGGCCCCGGTACTGGAAAGACCTCCGTTGCCAAGCTGTATGCCAAGATTTTGGCGGATATTAGGATGCTGAGCAATGGTGAAGGTAAGTTCGCGCCCGGCTTCACAAAGTTATGTCCTCTGATCTTGAATGTCCAAGTCGTCGTCAAGAACCCATCCGATTTCATTGGTAATGTGATTGGGCAATCTGAATCCAATACTAAAGCCATCCTCGCGACTACTGTCGGTAAGGTTCTGATTATCGATGAGGCCTATATGCTCTACCCAGGTTCCAGCTCAGGAGGGGAAAGCAGCACTGATATATTCAAGATCGCCGTCATCGACACGATTGTTGCTGAGGTCCAAAGTGTGCCTGGCGAAGACCGCTGCCTGATCCTAATCGATTACGAACCCCAAATGGTGGACATGTTCCAAAATGTCAATCCCGGACTCACTCGCCGATTTCAGCTCTCGGATGATTTCCGCTTCGAGGATTCCAGCGACTCCGAATTGCTGGAGATTCTCCAACTCAAGCTTAAACGACAGGGCCTAGGAGCAACTCAGCAAGCCTTATCCACCGCCATCGACGTATTAAGCCGTCTCCGAAATGGATTGAATTTGGCAATGGTGGTGGGTGGGGCGTAGCGAGTGTTGATACGTAGTAAGTACAAACTGCTGTGTCGTACAGCGAAATTGGCAGCGAAATTGGCAGCGAAATTGGCAGCGAAATTGGCAGCGAAATTGCAGTAGAGATTGACCAATCAAAAGCAGGCAAAAGGCAGGGGTTACGTGTAAAATTCGCGTTTGACAGCACTTTAGTAAACGCACCTTCCTTGACGAAACTGAGAAACTGTATGTCGGCTTTGATGAAATCTGCAATGCAGCAGAGGTTAAAACAAGAAAACCCTTGGTTGAGGAGTTCCAGTTCGGCAAGAAACATGGTTGACACCCCATACAGAGCCGTGGCCTGGTCTTCCTCAACGGCCTGAGGATCGCTGTCGGATTAAGACTTTGGGACGGCAGAAGTAGTGTCGACCCTGAGCCGAGTGAGACGTCGCTTTCTCAGAACCAAAGATATATCAAACTTGGACATACCATGGCTCGTTGCGGCCAGAACACCCAGCACTAAGGGGAAGGGGTAGTTAGCTAAAGACATGAACAAAGTGTCAGCAGTGGAAATGACAGTTATTCCGTCAAATGACCACCATACTGATACGATAAGAGAAGGATATTTTGACCGTACTGTGACCATATTTCTAGCAAAATACGTCGTAGATAATGAAACTTCATTGAACCACAGGCGATTACTCTTTAAGCAGTCTAAGCGCACTTTGATGGCTCCCCTACTAACGGAGGCCGACACTTGGCGAGTTAGTACACTTGGCGAGTCACTTTGTTAGGGTTCTTCGTAGTAACTTTATCACTCGATATACACACAACCCACAGTCAAATTCTACTACAAATGAAGCTATAGAGTATTCCTATTTAGGGTTCTTTGTGGGTATTGCCAGGATGAGTTTCTCCTGCGTTTTGTACGCTATCCTTGCCCGAATTAGCTCTCCTTTGGCCCTCCTTGCCTCTCGTATCTCTCGTAGAGAGAATAACCTCTAATTCTTCTCCTTCTGCAGCCTCTGTGTGCGCTTGTTGACCTCCTTGCTCTTATCCTGCTTTCGGACCTTGTGTAGCTCTGAATTGAGGGCTATATTGACAGAATTCTCTTGAATAGCGCCCTTGCCTAATTTGCGAATTTTGACTCGACTTAAGGGTGATAATTTGTGCTCAATTTGAGAGATAATAGCCTCATACTGATCAGGCTTTTTTGGAGTATCAAATAGGCTATTTGGAGTCGCTTTAGGATAGAAATCAGGTGTTATGTAGTCGAAATTTCGAACCTCTAGATCTTGCAGAATTAGGTCTTTATTTCGTGGCCATAGACTAGATCGTTTCCATCTAGTGCGCATATTACGTTCAGAGAATGCTTCAAGTCGTACTTTATTGTAGATACTCGCAAAAGTCACTCGATTAAGCGTAGCGTATCCTATTAGGGTGTATTGTTAAACAGCCTTGCTATAGTACTGCCCTAGGGGAGAAAACGGCCCTACATCAAGAGGCTGCAAATGATAAGAGGCATGAGCTAGTAGATAGATAAGGTGAATATTGCTTTAGAGGCACTCCTATTAAAATTCGCTAGATATATAACTTTTATAACTATTAAGGATAAGTATTTAATGCTTTTTTTCGTTCAAAGAGGTCTTAGGGTTAAATATATATTGTAACTAATTAATAGCAAGCTTATTATCAGTCTATCTCTTTAGAGAGAAGGCCTATATCTAATCAGGGAGCTTATTAGTAGGTAGAAACTATCCAGACTCTGGTTCCTTACTAATATAAATAATATAAGGCTTGAGAAGCACTTAATAGCTTATACATTTGATTATTAATACCTATTTTGATACTCCTGTCTCTAGAGCAACAAAAGGACCAGAGAACTTATTAAAAACCACATAATCTATCAAATAGGCTATTTGGAGTCGATTTAGGATAGAAATCAGGTGTTATATAGTCGAAATTTCGAACCTCTAGATCTTGCAGAATTAGGTCTTTATTTCGTGGCCATAGACTAGATCGTTTCCATCTAGTGCGCATATTACGTTCAGAGAATGCTTCAAGTCGTACTTTATTGTAGATACTCGCAAAAGTCACTCGATTAAGCGTAGCGTATCCTATTAGGGTGTATTGTTAAACAGCCTTGCTATAGTACTGCCCTAGGGGAGAAAACGGCCCTACATCAAGAGGCTGCAAATGATAAGAGGCATGAGCTAGTAGATAGATAAGGTGAATATTGCTTTAGAGGCACTCCTATTAAAATTCGCTAGATATATAACTTTTATAACTATTAAGGATAAGTATTTAATGCTTTTTTTCGTTCAAAGAGGTCTTAGGGTTAAATATATATTGTATAACTCGCCAAGTGTCGGCCTCCGTTAGTAGCATTATCTAAGAGGGCGTCTTCCTGCTAAGTATTTCAGGAGGGTGAAACAGGCTTGGCGGACAACAGATAAAATTAATTTCCGTGAGCTCATTTCTTCGCCCACCAAGACGGCATTGTTGATGATGTTTCGATGCGAGAGACAAGCCGCTTTGGGAGACGATGTTGCTCAGAGGTCAGTTGGATGTTAACCACGTCCTATGCACGGAGTTGAGTCGAGACACAGAAACGTGGCGCACTATTCACCAGAGCCGTAATCTGCTGTGCAGGCGAGTTCTGCTAGATCAATTCGGCCACAGGAACTTTGTCGGTTATTACAGTCTGCCGGAGAGAAGCAACCTTCGACGACAAGCCATTGGCATGTCTCCCTTCGTCCATGACCTCTTGCAGCAGGTACTTTGTAGTTTTTGGCGCTGTGTACGGTAGAGAAATTTCTGTACTCAAGATGAGGCAGCTGGCTGTGACGTGGTTCAGGGCCGAGATGGTTTGGCTGTGACTGTATGCCGGATTAAGGAAAACGAGGACGGCTCCCAGTTTTGCGCAAGCATAAACGATATGACATGTTAATCGGTCTGACCAGTCTGCTAGGGCTCTGGTCAATTTCACCACAACGTACTCGACATTATTTCCGAGACTAACGGACACTCGATCATGCAGTCGAATCTGAAGAGTGGAAAATCCCAGTGCCACCGAAATACTATCCGCATCGAGCTCTGCGCAAGATCACTGCTGATTGCTGGTCTTGACGAATTCTAGACCAATGGTTCCCTCTAACGGCGGCATCTGCCATCCACCAGTCAAAAAACCCTTTGAGATTAATAGCCACTAAGAATGAGGATTCAATGTTACGAACATCAGTGGGTCCATCGTGTAGAACGACAGTCTCACCGGGCTCTACTGGAACTTTTGAATTAGGGCGACATGATAGAAGAGGTGCGCAGTATACTGCTGTGGAACTAAACGACTGACATAGGTTTCGAGCTGAATAAAGAGTATCCCAAGATTTGACCCCAGCAAAACGCGAGTATTGCAGTACTCAAACTCAAATTCTCCACTTGCCGCTGATATTTCGATTGGATATTACCGAACACGCCGAGCTCTACGTTGGAAAAGACACCCGACCTCACTGCCAAATGATCCGGCGCAGCAATCTTTAATGGTCGTAGGAGTTCAAGATGTCTGCTGAACAATCTACGCCATAGGCAAGCATCATTGTGTCGCTGTTGAACATTGTCGAGATTGGCTTTTCCAAATGCAGTCATGGCGCTATTCACCAAAATTCCGTCGTCGGTGCTGCAATCAATCAAGCAGACAAAGGTAAACTATTGTCGACTTGGGGGCCTTATGGCCTCGAACCCTATTATGGGATGCATGGGAATTGGATCCCAAATTGGTGGGATTAGGTGGCGGAAGAGAATAAGGTGAAGTTCTCCATCTCGAAATCTATCTTGATGCTATGGCTCAAAGTGGTCTTCCATAGGCAGTTACGCTGCTCAAAGCTGCATATGATTGTGGCATTAATACTGTACGCGTGGAAAAGGGTCTTCGGCATCGTTTTGATATTTTTCGCCGTGAGATACTCCGAATGTATTCGAATGGCAGATCCGAAGAGATCATTGGCGATGCTCTGCGCACTTCCGGTATTCCTTGGCACAAAGTAGTGATAATGACCACAGTGGGTCGCATGATGTCGGACGAAGGACCTCGGGCTCCTGGGTTTCCATTCATGAATCGAGAGATGCGACTCAGTAAAGACTACGCCAATCAGGACGGTGTGCCATCTATGGACTTTTCAAATCTGGCGATCAGAGAAAGGCATTCCTCTGCTTCTGATCCTGAATACTGTAACTGGTCAATCAAGGACTTTCTCGGAAATTGATATTCAGGGCAGTCTTTGAGTCACTAGGTCGGCTGCAAACCGAGCACATCGACATCCTGCAGATCCACCGCTTCGATCCCTACGTCCCACCGGAAGAAACCATGCGAGCTCTACATGACCTGGTGGCTGAATGGAGAGTCAACTCTTGCCGGGCTAATTCCATGTGGGCCTACCAGCTTGCCTGTCCTTTTGAACATCTCGGACGGTCTCCTCGGACGTCCGCCAAGGCCAAAACCCACGTTTGAATTATGGCCAAAGTTTGGCTGGTCAGGAGATGATCCGAAGGGTGGAAGAGCTACCACGACCAATGTGTCGCTCGCTTGACTCAACAGACGGGCCGTGACGCCCGTGAATTGACTGAAGAGAAGGAGGCGTAACGTGGCCAACCCACTTCTGCACCACTCCCCCATGTGCACCACAAATGACTTGGCGTTTTGGTCTCAGAACATACTTAGTAGTTCTATCATTCAAACGTTGCTGGTGCTTTTCTGAAGATAGAACTGATTGAAATAGTTCAAATGACTACTAGTACTACTAGTAGTCGTTATGTGTCGGATTATGCTGCGTCGTACTATAGACCATGCAGGTGCTTTGGCAAAGATTCGCTCTTATCAGTTGGAAATTTTACGATAATGGCATGTTTTCGAGTATCTCTCCACGAGTCACAACGGACACGGTCCGGTTAGAAGAAGCCAGAATGCACGTCGAAGCACGGTGCAACTACAATGAGACCAATATCAGATTAAAATCGAGCTGGGTTTCGGCAAATCGTAAGGTGTTCAGTCACCTTACGATTTGTGATGGGCAAGCCTAAGGTTGACGATCTCAGATAATTCCTCGAATGATGGTCAACAACTCTAGCCGAAGCCTTCAGATAAAATTATTTGGCGAGACCTGCGCTTCTTCCATCATTCGAGCGCCGGTTGGAGCGCCTTCAAGATTGCACCAGTAGTCACAACCGCCCCCAATGTTCAGATCGGAGTACAGGCAATTGTTCATTCAGGCAAGGAGGTCGGAGTGGCTAAAGCTTGCATGGAGCTGGATATTCCGTTCGTCCTTTCTACGGCAGCACGAGTTCTATTGAAGAAGTGGCCGCAGCGGTTGGATCCGGTCCAAGATTGTTCCAGCTCTACTGGCCTTGGGATGATTCGGGAAAGGTTCAAGAAGACACAGGGCAAGGAGGTGGAAGCCAACATCCGGCTCGTAAGTCACGAATGGGTGCAATTTGTGCTCCCTAGGTTTGCCCCCAACCTGGTGTGTCAAAGCAAGCACCCCTCTTCACGCCGATAGAAATTTTCAACGCTCAGTAGGGACTGTGGCCCATTATTAAGGAAGCTTTGGAAAGGTCCGATTGTCCTCAAAGGCATTCAGCACCCCGATGTCGCTGTCGGCAAGTAAATGACAGTGCTCTTTGACTTATGTATCCGAACGGGAGCAGACATATTGAAAGCCCTCTGCTTAGGAGTCAAGAGAGCCATGGCGGGTAGGTCGACTATCTATGGCCTAGGAATTGCCGGTAAGCACCTTAAGATCACGCCCTGTTGAAACGGAGAGTTGTTCTGCTAACTCGACCTTAGTACGGCGGACTGTTGGTCAGCTCACATTTTTAGATTCCTTGTAGTCCTTGCTGTTTATTCTGTCTCAACCCATACTGCATGTAATTGTGTGTGGAAACTTACTACTCGGTTGATTTTGATGCCCCTAAGAGAGAGTGCTTTAAGCGATCATTTTTCAAAACGGATTCTGAGAATTTGAATTAAACTTGAGCCCGTAACAGTCCGCCATGCTTTAGAAAAGTTCTCAGAAGCGTCTTGGCGGACCTCGAAAAATCTCGAGGATTGCAATTGATCCTTCACACAGCCTGCCAACACGCCTCAGGCGTAAGCTGTGTCAGGCTTGTCTGAGGCCGCTTAAGTGTACCAAGATTGGCAAGCTCAGCTCCTCAGAATCAGGATTCAATATAAATGCCAAAACTTGTACGTTAATTCCGACTCGTTCGTAACTACTAGTAACTTACCAGTTACGCAAGCAGTTCTCAAGCTCTCTCATTCGTTGCGTAACCGTTCTATACGTGTTGCGGCATTGGGGACACCTATTTCTGCGATGCCTTGAAGGCGTCGGTTCTTGCTACGGAGTATGCCTCTTACGGTAGTAGTATCTCGCTTGATCATGGCAGCTGTCCTGTACAATCCTCTGAAGACTTGCGTGAGTATGTTGCAGAGGCCAGAGAAGTCGTAGAATGACCATCAACTGTAATATCTCTCGAACTGATCAGTAAGTCGAATTTTTTAGAGGTAAGTAAGAATCAAAAGCAGCCACACACGTGGTCAGTTGATCAAATCTGCTCTTGACTGACCGTTTGGGCAAGTGGAAATGCCGGAGAGTATTTTGTGTGGCAAGTTATGCGAGTGGATAAACGACTGTTAGGGAAGTTTATGCTTAGTCATCGCCCGAACTTGACCGGCGGCTTCATAGCTCGGCGATTGCTATTGATTTCGGTGTCAATGGCCTTTAGCTGACCTACCCTTCCTGAAGAACCCATGCCTGCCAAAAGCACAAAGATCGGGTGTTGTATTGGATTACTAGTATCCTTGAAGTCATTCGCTGCGAGGCCGTGTCCGCCAAGTCTAAACCGTGTCTTGGCCAGGATAATCGCAATGGGGCCAAAGTTCCTAAGCATCCCTCCTATCTCGATTCAGCATCTTCGTTGGCATCGTTTACCCTGGCGTCACCATGCTTCCCGGAAACGCCCTCCAATCCATCCTATTCCTCCAGCTGCCACTCCGAATCTCACCGCATTATTTGGACCAAGCCTCTCCCCAGGTGGCAGAATCTACTTGCCTTCAGACGCCAATTATTCCCAAGCGGTGACACAACGTTGGACAGTCTATGAATTCCCTTCCTACATCGGGATCATCAAGCCTGCCTCCGTGGGCGACTTTCAAGAACACTGAGTGGTTGTGATTCGCACGGCAATGTGCAGAGACGAAGGGCGGCTGAACATGAATTCAGGTTAAAATCGCGTCGTCGAATAAATTCCCTTTTCTGGCAATTGGAGGCGGCCACAGTACTTCGGTTCACGTGGGACGCCTCACAATGGAGTTCAAGTTGATCTGAGCAACTTTGACTCGGTGGAGCTGGACGCAGAAAGAAATCTGCTGACAATCAGCGGAGCAACCCAGTTTGCGCAAATCACTGACCTCCTATACGATGCAGGGAAGCAAACCCGCATGTCTACTGTGAGATGGAAGTTTCAATACTTAGTACTACTATCATGCTCTCCGTTGGTTGTTCAATATCAACTCAATACTAGTTCGAATTAGTACTACTACTACCCAAATGCCACTTGAGTAAATTCCATTGCTTCAATAATCATACAATCAATTAAAATCAATATCTCCCATATTGTTTAGATAGATCCAAGAAATCCAAGAGATCCAACTTAACTAGAGCTATTAGCAATATGAGATTGTGGCAAGTAGGGAGGGTAAGTCTTGGTATGTGCGAGAGAGGTTGCAAACGATTCTATGAAAGTAATATCCGATACGGAACACAAAAAATAAATTCGTGTGGTGATTAAGAACGAGCGGATCTCCGAGATGCTGGGTAGCACAGATCTTGACCTACGGACTTCCTTATTATCCTTGGCTGAAAAGCAGATATGATGATGATGATGATGAGGATGCTAGGAGATTCTTACTGACACTTAATTGTTCTTTAATTATGTTATGGAGATTACAAGTCTGCAACAGCAATAGTACTTCCCCAACAGAAGATTATTTCCGTTCCTACGAGATCCCCTTAGACTTTTGCCATATTTTGTTTTTCCTATTCCAATGATACATTTGGGTCAAGGTCAAGTGATGAGATTCTTTTGGCGCATGGAAGATATTTGGTCATTTACTGGTTGCGGCTGGTTTCTGCAAGAGCCTGCACGTAAGCATACAAGTACTGTGACTTCTCCTAGTGGGTATCGATTGGGTAGCCGTGATGGCGTACAGCTGGGTACCGTCTTGGAAGAGATCCTTTCCTATAGCTCACGCCAAAATTGTACTACAACGTGTTCTGAGATCACGCGCATTATTCAGATTTGATCGACCTCGGGGTCTATAAGATAGTACTAGCTGTCTTTGCCGTGCTAGAGGGAACCTTTTATTATCTCTGAGACCTGCCCACCTTCTTCGTCCATTTTGCTTTCCTTCCCTGTCCTCTTCTCTCTTTATATTCTACCATAGCACCCCCTTCTTCTTCTTCTCCCCCACTCTGTCTACAGTTTAGGAACTATGCTCAACAAGAGCTTGAGAAGTTCTCTTCGTCTTCTTGACTCCAACGTACCAATAAAGATACCCAAATGGTGGTAAAACCAATCGTTCTCCGCTCTTGAACTCCCACTCGCTGAGATCGAGGCCAGGCTCACGAAGCAAAAGGTCATCAATCTCCTTTGGTGTGCGAGTTCGAATGCATGAGACGTATCCATCGATAGCGTAGAATAGTGGTACTAGAGGGATGAGATAGGTGAAGAAAAGATGCATGGGCGAGTTCCAGAACCAGAGCATGGTGGTGATGAAGGGGGAGAGAATGACGATGGAAGTGTTCATGAAGGCGGAGAAGTTGCGGTAGGTCATCTCATGGATGCTATGGCGTGAATGTTGCGTTAGCGGGTGGAGAAGACACGAAAGGAAAAACCAATGGGCTTGAAGAGGATATTTTCACACATACACGAAAGCATCCGCTGACTCAACTGCACTGCGTAGGACTTTGCCCGCCAGCGGATCATCAAAGTGATGATAACACAGGTTGAATATCCTGCACTCCTTCTCGTTAGGCCCAGTTAATTTCTTAGCAGCCGTGGCATCGACCGGTTCTTCGATGTAGGAGATGTTCTCGCTACGTTTCACAATCTTTTCCCACGCCGAAAGATGCGGATAAAGATCTGTCAGAATAAATTTGACTGGGCCTTTGCCCTGGGCTAGAAGCTTTTCATTTAGACGGGCTTCCAGGACAGGAGTCGGTCCTCCTGCTCCGGCGCAAGCATCGACGAAGGTGAAGGAGGAGGTATCGGGAAGGTTTTCCATGAGAAGATCGCAGGCTTGAGCGGCTGGTGGGCCTTTTTCACTAGCGTTCGACCTCCACATCTGAGCGAGAGCCAAGTGTGAATGCTCTCGCAGCCAGCTGGGGCACCATGACTGATCCTCGATTTCAGCGAGGTGGAAGCGGGGGAGGAGAACCATGGTTGATGAAGTGTTTTAGTTTTTTCTTTCCGTCGAGTTACTGTTCTGACCTTTTGTTGGAGTGTGGTGGATATCTCAGACTTTGTTGCACACGTCCCACTTCGATTTCAATGGCAGAGATGGCGAATATAAGCAACATATTACCACGTGGTGTATGCAGGCACAGGAAAGTTGGTGTTGAGATTGTCTCGGCATCCGGGGTCCGACTTCTGGTCCCAGATCCCAGCTTCCCATTACGTGCAAGGTCGAAAAGCGACAGTGTTGCGAAGATTGTTTCCGCCGCCCTGGAGGGCTAAATTTCCATTACCAATCGAGGCCACCTTTTCTAACACGCCCAACAATGACTGTATCATGGAAGGAAGTTCGGAATTCCATCTGTCGTAGAGCCTCCTCAATTTCAATATGTCAGTATTGAACGCCATTGGCGCCAAGTTTCCACCTCAAAAGTCGCTACAATATGGACGACGACCCCACCGTGTCGTCATATTGTGGTTATTTTGTTCCTGGAACCTGTCATATTGAGAAAACGTCATCCTCCTAAAGCAAGCGCATCAGTTCCCTGAGATATGTGCATATTGAGCACCCAGCGCCTTAGCACTTCCGTTGGAACTGAAGTGCACAGAGGTACAGATTGAAGCAAAGGTTCTACGCCGTTCCGAAATAATACTAGTAGTGACGTGGTTTGAGCGGTGTCGTACGTTGGGTTGAAGTCTCCAGAAATCCCTCTGTCAGATGGATGTGACAAAAATTGCATGATGGAGGATCCGCCAAGAAGGTTTTCAAATCAGCTGTCGGAACATACAGCCACGTGCAAAAGTATCCGGACAAAA